GCTGTTTCTGCCATGTGAGAATTTGGTGGCAGAATTAACACAAGCTGTGAAACAATCAGAATGCCATACGCGAGTCACCCAAATAACCTCGGGGGGCTCATTTACTGCCCACATAAATTCATCATTACCAGAGTTTACTCTTTTCTTCTCTGATTCATTCTCAAGATCAAGCTTGTGGGCTTCTCAGTCATTCTCTAGATCAGGCCAGATTTAGGTCATAACATTCAGTGATAGCTCTTGACCTGAGGTGCTAATGACCACTGCCCTGGTCTTGAAGTGAATCAATCTTACATGTAGATGATAGTGCAAAATACATTTGGCAAACCAAGGTGTCATGAAAAATGTGGGGCTCTTCTTCCAAACCAAGTTGTTCATGCTGATGTTATCAATATACCCAAATCATGAGTTGCTGGTTATGAATAAAGCATTTGCAAAAACCACACTGGCCCAGAATAGCAGGGATCATCATGAAATTAAGAAAAGTTCAGTTATTCTTCCACAAACTCAGTGCAACATTGGGTTGGTAGGGCATGGTGGGGGAACCAGGAAGAAATAGAGATTTAGCTAAGATATGCCCCAAAGCCATTGTTTCTCTGGACTCACACCAGATTAGGGAAACAACATTCCACAGCTTCTATGCTAAGAGCCAAAGGGAACACAGGCTTAAATATTACAACATGAAAGTTACTTCACTTGATGAAATCACTGAGAATCTCTCACTTCCAGGGTTTTGCAATGCAAAACCCCACTACTAGAGTTAATGTGCTATAGTCAATCTCTCTTCTGTGAGGAAGAGCTGTGGGGGAGTGGGATGTGGTGTTACCTGGGAATCCCAAAAGAAGACAGAGTGGTACAAAATGATGGAAAAGGACACCAGAGGAACAATCTCATCAAACTAAGATTATTTTTTTGCTGTTGGTTTTGCCTGCCTGTCAACCTTTGGGTAATGAAGCTAATGAGTAGCTGCTGGGGTTTTACTATCGATGTCCTCATTCTGGAACCCTCAATTCTTGGAGGATATCCCTCCCCATTCTTCCTAGAGCCTCTTTCTTGATCTCTTCTCTCCTTCCATTCTCCACTTTCCTCTTTGTGTGATGTTCTTTTGGCTTAGCTGCCAGGAGCATCTGAGGCAGGTCTCAGGGTAAGAGAGTGGGCAGGTGGGAACAGACTGAGAGCGAAGTCTGAGATCCTGACATTTCTTTGGCATTCCAGGAAAAATATTGCAATAGGATAATGGAATAAAATCAAGTACTTTTTGGGGACCTCTTCCTTGTGAAATATCTTCTTATCTGGATTCAGAGGTTATGTTCTTTGAGGTAGAAAGGAAGGGGAAAAAGAGCTTTTATATAGCTATTGTTGTAGGCAGAGTTCTAAGGTGACACTCTCTGACCCCTGATGATTCCCTCCCCTCCAGGGTGGATGGAACCTGTGTATAAGATGGGATACAAGTCCTGTTTGTAGGTACTGACTAGTTGACTTTCAGTTTATCAAAAAAGGCATTATTCTGGATGGACCTCACCTGTTCATGTGAACACTTTATGAGAGGATTAAAGCATTAGCAACTGACTTTCCTGTTGGTCTCAAACAAAAAGTGCATTGTCATGAATTCTCCAACGGAGAGGAAATGAATTCCGCCACATTAGCATGGAAGAAAATCATAAGCTTCAGACAAGGCCACAGCCCCAGCCAACTTCCTGATGACAGCCTTGTAAGATCCTGAGTTGAGGACCCACTTCAGCTGGGCCCAGACTCTTGACCCATGGAAACTGAGAGATAATGAATGTGTTCTGTGTTAAGATTCTGAGCTTGTTTAATTGATTATGCAGCAATAGAAAACTAATGCAGACATCTTCAAATGAAGGCCAATACTCACCCCACCAGGGCTACAACAGATCACTTTACATCCAAAGGCAGAGAGGGACACAGCAATGCAGAATTCCAGCACACTTAAGAGGCACACCAAGCCATCCATACCCTAGGAGAAAACTCAGACCAAAGAAATGTGAGAAACGGAGATGACAAGTGAAAACATTTACTGGTAACCACAATGTCACAAGAGGAAAAGCACTGGCCGGGAGTCAGGAAACCTGCCTCCCAATTGCAGCCATACCCTTGACCGATTCTTGATCTGCTGAAGTAACTTCTCACTTTTTTCACTGACAAAATAATCACAGACATTTACTCCCTAGTTCAGTACTCCCCAGTGCTATTATGCGTAAGAAAGATGAAAGTGATTTAAAAAGTCAGGAAGGCAGTATAAAGACAATTATCATCTTAGTCCTTTTGAGTACTAGAAATTCATATCATTGACAAAATATTATGATTCCATATCTTAGTGATTGAAAGCAGAGTAATGGTCCTGCAGGGAGGTCTGCATCCTAGTCCTCTAATCCTCAGGTTCTGGGGATTAGAATGCAGACCTTCCTGGGGGACCACTGTTCTTTTTGCATAGCAAAAGGCATTAAATTTGCAGATGAAATTAAGATTGTTTATTAGCTAGAATTAGAGAATTTTTCTGGATTATTCAGGTGGGTTCAAAGTAATGACAGAATCTTTTTAAGTGGAAGCAAGAGGCAGGATAGAGTTCAAGAGAGATTTGAAGATGCTGCATTGCTTGATTTGAAGGTAGAGGATGCGATGATAAACCAAGAAACATAGGCAGCCTACAGAAGCCAGAAAAGGCAATAAAACTTACCATAGCCTAGTCTTCGGAAAGGGGTACAGCCTTGCCAATGCCCTGATTTTAGCCTAGTGAGACCCGTTTTGAACTTCTGATCTCCAGAAATGTAACCAAACTGTGTTGTCTTGAGACACTAAATTCATAGTAATTTGTTATAGTAACAATAAGAAGCTAATACAACAATGAACATCAAGTAGGTCAGTCTTTATTCCATGTCCTGAGAGCACTGACTTTAGGTCTAGTCCTCAGCCAAGAAATATATTCAAAATTTGGAGAACATTGGGCAGTATACTGATTTCTATTAATTTTACCCTGGATTGACACAGGGATTATCTGGTTTAAATATTCTCTCTTTTTCTCTCCTTTGTTAGGGATAGTCCCTGTGTCACTGAAGAGCTCAGGATATGAGTGATGTAGACTTAAGGAGACCTTGAGAATATGTGCATTCATTGATCATTTGTTTTCTGGTGCCTTCAACAGACGTAGTGGCCTTGGTGTTTCAAACATTGTTGTAGGCACAGAACATAGAGCATCAAATGAAACAGACAATTCCCCTGTCTTCAAGGATTTTAGTATCTAGAAGGGTAGACTAAAAGATAGCAACCTTTCTGTAAAAGCCAGATAATGTGCATTTTAGGTTTTGAAAACCATAAGGTCTCTCTTACACATATTCAAACCTGCTGTTATCACACAAAAGCAGCACTACACAGAATGTAAACAAATGGGCTTCATTATATTTCAATTAAACTTTATTTATGAAATTTATTTACAAAAACAAATATAGGGCTGGGCTTCCAAAAAAAGTATCATATATATATATATATATATATACCTGTGGACTGATTGTACAGATGCTCTGGCAAGAATAGACCCATTGCTTCAAATCCCAGAAAGCCCTTATGGAGGTCCTCTGCTATAAGAACAGGCATAAAAATGTTCACACAATTAACAGGAATTTATGAAACTGCTGCCCTTCTAGGTTAAGTATAGTTGATCATTGGCAGTTTCTTCTGGTTCTGCCTAATGATTCTGGGTAGCAGACTCTAACTACTTTTTTCTAGAGCTTAACTTTTTCTAGGCTCTTTAATAATTACATGCTTTCCAGCATTTCTTTTTCTTCCAGGAGAACTGAAGCTTCTTTATGGTAGGGAACTATTTTCCTTCTTATGTCTACTGGAGTGACAACCCTGTGATGGGGCAAACACTATTAGCTTATAGACCTGTGGTTTGATTGTGCAGGTGCCCAGGCAAGAATAGACCCATTGTTTCAAATCCCAGAAAACCCTTATGGAAGTCCTCTGCTATAAGAACAGGCATATAAAATGTTCACATGATTAACAGGAATTCAGGATGGCCTCTGGGAAAAAGCGATTGAGATGAATGCAGAAACAGCTATGCAACTTACAGAGTCTCTTGTTTAAAATTTCTAAGAATAATTTCAAGATAGCAACAGCAGAACATTAGATCAAGCACAGGGCTCTTATAACTGTGAAGTCCTGAGTAACTGCATAGGCCCCATGCCCAGGAAATCAGCCCTATGATGCTGGGTAATTCCAGATTTTGTCTCCATCCTTGTGCTATTAAAGTCTATGAATGAAGAGATCTTTATAAACTGACAGTAAGGTTCTTCTTCAAGATAACAATAGCAAATAAGAAGGGAGTTAGAGACAAGAAGTTGTACAATCTAATCTTGCTTTTGTCAATTTCTAACTGTGTGACTTTGGAAAAATTTGTCAAATTCTCAAAAGAAGCTTTCTTTTCTTATTTTGAGTGAGTGGCAAGAAACAAAATTGCTTACTATAAAAATCATTAGATATCTCAAGGGCAGTAAATTAGTTTAGCAAAGACACCTTAAGCGGTTATTTTGGTGTGACCATATAGCCCTCAAGACTATGTGGGATTAGCTAGGAATGAAGTGAACAGAATGCAATTTATTCTGTCTAGTAAGTTAGGAAGAATGCTGAGTTTCCACATACATGTGAGGGAAGGGCACAGTGAGGAACAGAACTAAGTAGCAAAGTGAAAGCTGAAAGCTCTTATGGGGGAAAGTAAAAGAAAATTTGGTGGTGTTAAAAATGACCAATAGGAGTTTTTTTTTTTTTTTTTGAGAAGGAGTCTCACTCTGACACCCAGACTGGAGTGAAGTGGCGTGATCAAGGCTCACTTCAACCTCTGCCTCCCAGGTTCAAGTGGTTCTCCTGCCTCAGCCTCCCAGTAGTTGGGACTACATGTACACACCACCACATCTGGCTAATTTTTGTATTTTTAGTAGAAATGGGATTTCACCATGTTGGCTAGGCTGCTCTCGAACTCCTGACCACAGGTGATCCACCTGCCTCTGTCTACCAAAGTGCTGGGATCACACGCATGAGCCACTGTGCCCGGCCAATAGGCCTTTTAATAATAAAGATTTAATTGTGCATTTTAGTCTGCTGTGATGTGCTGCAAAAACTCTTCCTCCTTACACTTACCCAATGGCCAAAAAAAAAAAAAATCAAGAAATTTTATTATCTACAAAATATTGTATAAGTGACAATTTTCTGAATAAAGCAATTAAGATGGCATTGAAATAAGCACAACTGGTACAAAAAAGGTAGTAAAATTTAGAATGGAGATTGGGAATTTTTCGGGTGCCACATGTTGAGGAAGTGGTTAATCTTGCAAGAACATCCAAAGATGTCGGAAAGGATACTGAGTTACTCACCACTTGTAACATGCTGTTCAAGACAATTTTACTTTATTATTAGAGAATCGGGACCGACATCTGGGTCCCATTTTTATAGAAGATAACAGTATACATTACATCAATGTTTTAAAATTAAACAGAAAAGTTTATGCAAAATACCCAACACAGTAACTATTAAGGACTAGGTGTTCAATAACCATAAGCTTTCCTCCCATTTTGTCTCACCACATATAGAGGAAGAATAAAGACAGAGATGAGATGTGTACCTAACTCCTAAATAAAAGATTAGTATTCTATTTCTCAATCATTTCCAACTTCCAAAGTCAGTCAGCAATTAGGGAATGTTAATTATTGTCATTGCCAGAGCTAGCACTCCCCCAAACTTGCTTCTATAATAGTATCTCATGAAAAGATGAAGCACTCACCATTAAAATGGACAGTCATGTAACAATTATTTGACAACTGATTGTAGCCACAGAAGTGGTAATGGAATAGATAAGACGTCAAGCTTATTGCATTGATTATGATCCCTGAGATAGCCAAGACTGAGCTGATGATACTCGTTCCTAGACTACCTCTGACCTAGAAAGAAATGAAAATTAATTAAGCAATCTGACAGCCACTCAGATATATCTCCATGAATCACTTTACACCCACCATTTCTTACTGCCATCTATCTTTAGCTTGATTATTTCAATAGTCTTCTATGTTGTCTCCTTATAGTGGTTTCAACTCTAATCTCTTGCCCGAACACAAATATGATCCTATTATTCTCCAGCTTGAATTCTTCAGATGATTCCTGTGGGCACATGAGATAATCTCCAGATCATGTAGCAGGATTTTCAGTGATTTTTACATGTTAGCTGGACCGTCCTGTCTGTGTCCTTCCCTGCCATTCCTTGCTTCTGGTGCCAGATCTCTTATTATTGTTCTAAATGCTGCTTGCCTCTTGTAACTCTCTAACTTTTAAATTATTTTTCTAGGTTGTGTTTTCCTTTCTGTACATTCTCTTCTCATGGGTAAAGGTAAGGAGGCTTTTTATATGAACTAAAATTGCACAGGAATGTGTGAGGTGTATAGTATGGCTGCAGGTCCCTGCAGATATCGGGAAGTTGGGTTAGGCCAGATTTGGAAAACCCATGTTGATCATGCTCCAGAGTTTGATATTTATCTTTTGAACAAAGAAAACTCAAATATGGTGTTCAGCCAGAAAAACTCTCATTGAGATCTTGGCTTTTACACTTTATTGGCTTTTTGAAAGGCATCTTGACATAAGAGTTATATTTTAAATTTGATTATTCTTATGTAACAATTTTATTGTGAATTTCTTATCTTGAAAACTCAAAACCTTTTTGGATACAGTTGGAATCTATTTTTGTTTGTTTGTTTTCTTTTTCAGATGGAGTCTTGCTCTGTCGCCAGGCTGGAGTGCAGTGGTGAAATCTTGGCCCACTGCAACCTCCACCTATTGGGTTCAAGTAATTCTCCTGCCTCAGCCTCCTGAGTAGCTGGGATTACGGGCACCTGCCACCAAGCCCAGCTAACTTTTTTTGTATTTTTAGTAGAAACGGGGTTTCACCATATTGTCCAGGCTAGTTTCGAACTCCTGATTTCAAGTGATCCACCCGCCTGAGCCTCCCAAAGTGTTAGGATTACAGGCGTGAGCCACAAAGCCTGGCCGGAATCTACCTTTTAATCTATCAGTCAATCAACATTATGCCACACAAATACTTGTGACTCTCATGGGCTGAACCCCAGGCTGCAGAGTTTTTTTGAGTTATCCCACTTGATATTTGTTCTCAATAATTCTCTATATCTTCATAAAGATTTCCTCAGCAACTACCTTGACAAAATATCCATTATTATGTCAGTAATTCTATCATTAGCCTGATTACAATTTTTTTGAAAGACAGATTCTGCTAAACAAAATGCACAATCACCCCTGATTTTTTAAAAACAAACAAACAAAAACTGTTTCTACCCTGGCAGAATACATTTTTTATTAATCCTTTCTTTTTGACACCTCCCAACAAAATATTACTCACCAGACCTTTTGTAGTTCTAATTCCTGCTGCAACTGACAAGGATCCTGAAATAATAAACTCGGAATGAGAGGAAAAAAATGAAGATAAAAAACTTTAAACAGGTATTGGAAATCACCATGTACTAGACTTAATTCCAAATTAGATAGATATGTATAAACAGGTCAATTATCTTAGAAAACAAGAGATTGCACGTAATTTTCTCTTTTTCCATAAAGAACAGACAAATTCTGCCAGATGAGTCTAACAGATAATTTACCAAGCTTTTCAAATAATAGCTAACTGGAATGGCATTAAAACTGTTTGAGGGCACTAAAAGATAAACCTTACAAATTCTTGATAAGAAGTAATTCTTATATGATATCAATATTAAATATAATAAAAAATACACTAAAATCATTCTCATTAAAATATGTTTAAAAATTTATAAAATAAAATATTAGCACATAAAATTTAATTCCCAATAATTTGATGACTATATTACTTCATTTGAATCCAACAATAGGGCAATTATTTTTCATTTAGCCGAAATAGCTAGTCAAATTGGTTTAGACTCTCTACCTTATAATATTCCATTGTTTGAGGTTTTTAAAATTCCCTTTGCAAATTTGATCCCAGATTATTCAAAAACTAAATCTTAATACAGAGAAACTGAACTAATAAAATAGTTCAATAAGTTTCTTTAGTTTTCAAATACTCAGACATAGAAATGATTCATGTCATCTAAATCACCATTGGAAAACAAAAGTAGAACAAATCATCCATCATAGGATATGAAATACATCATAAACATTTGGGATGTTCCTTCAACTCTACAAAGATTTTTAATATTGAAATATTATAATGTATATAATAAATCAGTTTAAGAAAAATATTACATGCGAATTCCTTTTCATGTTTATAGTGTTGATACGATGGATGTTTAATACAATTCAATATTATTAGTGACTTAAATATTATTGGTTTAATATAAAGAACCATACTTTCTATAGCATGATAAAACATCTTTCTCAGTCTACAAGTCTTTATCATGTTTAATGATAAAGAAGTAGGACCATCTTATTAAAGTCAAAATCAAGATAAAGATGTAGACTATTATGTATTACTATTTGAGTATATTAACCAAAATAATTATATAAGAAAAATAGTTGAAAAAAATGGCTAAAACTACTGTTATTTAAGTATGAATAATATATATTGCAAACATCCAAGAAGATGAACTAAAAAGTACCATAAACTAAAAATTTCAGTAAAGAACCTTGGAAAAACATTATATACAGAAATTACATATATGTATTAGAAGTGTGTATGTATGCTTGTATCTTTGAAGATGGGATTGAATAAAAGGACTTCATTTACCACAGGAAAAAATATGCATATAGTATCTCAGAGAAAAAAACCTTAACAAAGGATGTGAAACATAAATAGGAACAGAACTGAAGAGGCCAAAGATAATAGAGACTTTCAGCTGGTTGTTGGTATTGGTACTTACACTGTAAAAGGGAGAAAAGAGAGGCACTTTACAGATGATGTTTGGAAAAAAGAGGTTGAAAGAATAATGTAAGGTAGTAGCAAAAAAAAAAAAAGGTTTGCTAATTAAGTAAAGGCTCATCTAGTTCAATGCCTACAAGAGTCTGAGTGATGTCTCAGTGGACAAACACAGCTCCTGCAGTTCTTGGTAATCTACTGAACATGCGTGGAAGGCTAAAACCATGTAAGATGGTTTTCAATGTAATCCTGAAAAGAAAATGGACATAAAAGCAGAAAACTAGGTAGTTAGATGTATGTGATTCTGATAATAGAATGACCCTATTCTAACCCTGATTCCTGTACCAAATAGTTGTGATCTTGGGCAAGTTACCTGACCTCTCTTCATTCATAAAATAAGGATAAAGAGAAACCCTCCCAGCTGGGATAAGTGGGTCTAAAGTGACTAATCTGCTCCCCTATCCCAATCTCTCTAAGCCTTTGAATCCCCTCTTCTACATTAAACCAAGGAGATCAGGCATTTCTAGCTCACTCACAGTGGGCCATCTTTTAATCCAGTTTCAGCTAACTAAGCAAATAAGCTAGAACCTTGTTTTAACTCTCCAAACTGCAACATTAAATGCAGAATTTCTGCTTAGAGGGCCCAAATCAATAAATTCAGCCTGATTCAACTCTAGGTTCCTTCCACCATTATACCACACCCTTAATATTCTTTCCCATGCCTATTTTCCAGATTTCTGCTTGTATAAATTGGAAAACTCAGGCAGTTCTTGAGTTAGAAGAAGCATGATGGGAAAATTGTGACAAAGAAATTTTGGGAAGAGGTATGTGAATGAACCACTCTGAGTGGTCAAAAACTGTGAAGATATTTGTGTTTAACGTGAGTGCTTACCAAAGGGTGACCTCAGCAGAGGAGGATTTTAATAATCAAGTGAATAGGATGATTTGTTCTGTGGACACCAGTCAGCCTCTTTTTCTAGCCACTCCTGTCATTACCCAATGGGTCCATGAACAAAGTGGATGGTATGGGATGAAGGGTATGCATGGGCTCAGCAACACAGACTTCTATTCACTGACCTGGCTACAGCCACTGCTGAGTGCCTAATTTGCCAGCAGCAAAGACCAGCACTGAGCCCTCGATATGGCACCATTCCTCGGTGTGATCAGTCAGCTACTTGGTGGCATGTTGATTATACCGGACCTCTTCCATCATGAAAAGGGAAGTAGTTTGTCCTCACCAGAACACTTTGGATATGGGTTTGCCTATCCAGGACGCAATGCTCTGCCAAGACTACCATTGATGGACTCAAGGAATGCCTCATCCACCATCATGGTATTCTACATAGCATTGCCTCTGACCAAGGCACTCACTTGATGGCTAAAGAAATGTGGCAGTGGGCTCGTATTCATGGAATTAGCTGCTCTTACCATGTTTACCATCATCCTGAAGCAGCTGGGTTGATAGAATGGTGGAATGTCCTTTTGAAGTGACAATTACAACACCGACTAGGTGACAATAGTTTTCTTTCTTTTTTTTTGAGATGGAGTCTTGCTCTGTCACCAGGCTGGAGTGCAGTGGCGCAATCTCGACTCACTGCAACCTCTGCCTCCTGGGTTCAAGCGATTCTTCCACCTCAGCCTCCTGAGTAGCTGGGACCACAGGCATGTGCCTCCATGCCCGGCTAATTTTTTTGTAATTTTAGTAGAGACGAGGTTTCACCGTGTTGGCCAGGATTGTCTTCATCTCTTGACCCTGTGATCCACCCACCTCTTCCTCCCAAAGTTCTGGGATTACAGGTTTGAGCCACCATGCCCGGCAGTGACAATACTTTTCAGGGTTGGGGAAAAGCCTTCTCCAGAAGGCTGTGTATGCTCTGAATCAGCATCTAATATAAGGTACTGTTTCTCCTATAGCCAAGATTCATGGGTCCAGAAATCAAGGGGTATAAGTGGAAGAGGCACCACTCACCATCACCCCTAGTGACCTACTGGCAAAATATTTGCTTCCTGTTCCCATGACACCATGTTCTGCTGGACTATGGGTCTTATTTCCAGAGGAAGGAATGCTGCCACTAGGAGACACAACAACGATCCTATTAAACTGGAAGTTAAGATTGCCATCTGAACACTTTGGTTTCCGCTTATCTCTAAGTCAACTGGCTAAGAAGGGAGTGACAGTGTTGGCTAGGGTGACTGATCTGGACTATCAGGAAAAATTAGTCTATTACTCCACAATGCAGGTAAGAAAGAGTATGTGTGGAATACACGAGATCCCTTAGGATATCTCTTAGTATTACCATGTCCTATGATTAAGATCAATGGGAAACTACAACAACCCAATCTGGGCAGGACTATAAATGGCACAAACCTTAAAGGAATGAAGGTTTTGGTCACTCTAACAGAAAACATACACACACACACACACACACACACACACACACATACACACAGCCTGCTGAGGTGCTTACTGAAGGCAAAGGGAATAGAGAATGGGTAGTAGAAGAAGTTTGTCATCAATACCAGCTATGACCATGTGATCAGTTGCAGAAATGAAGATCATAATTGTCATGACTATTTCCTCCTTTTGTTAAGAACATGTGTGTGCACGTATACACTTGTACTAAGAAAATATCTTCATTTTCTTTCCTTTCTTTTTCCTTTATCATGTGACATAAGATTTATTAACTTTATATCAGCATTTACGTATTGTTAACTTTATGAAATAGCATTTGAGTTTGGGATTGGGGCATTTTGGGTCGTACAAAAAATAACTGTATTATGTTAGGCATAATTTTGACCTTATTGTTGGCTTTATTTTATTTGAAAATTATGTATGATTTCAGGAGATGTGTACAGGTTCAGGTTGACAAGGGGTAGACTTTTGATGGTTAATATTGAATGCCAATTTGATTGGATTGAAGGATGCAGAGTATCATTCCTGGGTGTGACTCTGAAGTGGTTGCCAAGGGAGATTAACATTTGAGTCAGCCGACTGGGAAAGGCAGACCCACCCTCAATCTGGGTGGGCATAATCTAATCAGCTACCAGGGAGGCCATATTAAAAGTAGGCAGAAGAACTAAACTGGTGTAGTTTAGTTCTTCTGGGTAAACTGGTATAGTCTTTAAGACCAAACTGGTATAGTCTTCTGGCTTACATCTTTCTCCTGTGCTGAATCTTTCCTGCCCTTGAATATCAGATTTCAAGTTCTTCAGCTCTGGGTCTCAGACTGGCTTCCTTGCTCCTCAGCTTGCAGATGGCCTGTTGTGGGACCTCACCTTGTGATTGTGTGAGTCAATACTCCTTAATAAACTTTCCTTTATATATACATCTATCCTATTAGTTATTTCTCTCTAGAGAACCCTGACTGATATAATCTCCTTCAGATCTTGCATTTCTGCTGTACACAGGTGAAGATGAACAAAAAGTAAGCTCTATTATAAAATTCTAAACTATCTCATTCTCAGTTTTAGAAATAAATGGAAACCCTATAATGCTAGAATAGATTTCCTGATTCTAACATAAACCTGCCTTATAAATTTTATTTTTCTCTTGTCAATAGATAAAACTCGGTCTTTTATTCTCAATTTTCTTTTCAATTTGCATCAAAACTCTCTTGTGGTTTCTCTTGGGAGAAGGTTTTTTTTTAACTTAAATTTCATTCTAGTTTTAATTTAATATTAGTTATAGTTACTGCTATTAAACTTATAAAACAAACTATTTCAAATAACAATTTAATTTTTAAAGTAAAAATTTCCTGAGATTTGATACCCTATAGACTATATATGAGAAACTGCCTGTGTACCAGCAACATTTCCACATCTCCTCTTTTTCCTTGCTAACTAAACCATGATTTTCTTCAGTTTGTCCTGAGTTATAAGGTAGTGTAGACTCTTCCCAGCTATAGAGGTAAATCTTAATTAGCCCAAGCCAGTAGTGGCAAATTTTTTATCTTTACTGATGGTTGATTTGGGCATATATACATAAAATATTTATCAGAAATGAGACATGGCTACCATCTCCCATCTGATATGGTTGGCTAGCAGTCCTTGTTGAAATCCTTACACCACTGAATTAAGCAGTACTGGAAATGACAAGCCTCTAATCTTGTTGGGAAACAATCAGTTCTTTCAATGTTTAGCCATTCCGGTGTGGGTCTTTGACAATTTGCAGCTGTAATATATTCTAGCTGACATACATAAAGTATTTAATCTGCCTAGCTTTAAGTTTTATATTATTATTACTGTTTTAAATATGGGAAAATTGAGTTTAAAAAGGTTAGATACCATTCTCAAATTTACAGAATTACAAGATAGAGTTAGAATAAAACTGCAAAGGTCAGGGTATTAACACCTATATTATGTTATCTTCAATTATATCAAAAGATACCCTACTCACCATCACTGACCCCCAAATTGTGTACCCAGCATAGAAGGAAATGGAACGTTGTCCATAAGACCTAAATTCAACACACATCATTATTATTCCCATGCTAAGGTTCATCAGGGCAATCAGAATCTGCACAACCTAGAAATAATGAAGAAAGTAAAAACTGATTATCCACCACAAAAATGGTGCTTATGCCACCCCCTTTCCAAACGCTAAGCTATACTTATTCTTCTTCATTGAAATATTCATATAACCCTGATATTCTGTTGTCACTCTTT